CCAAGAAATGCCACACACCCTGCAGCTTCAAGTGGCTGTGAAATGAAGTGGGCCATTCCACCAGCTGCTCTTCCTCACGGACACAGACTCCAGGTATCATTTTCTATGACACAGGTACCCGGGTGATTGTCTTGCCCAGTTCAGACTTAGATGTGATGTCTCCTCAAGGCTGCCAATGGAAGCTACGCTCCTATGTATGGGCAGCAATTAGTGCCATTGTGCTTCAGTGGGCAGTGGTTCAAGTGGCAGTTTGTGCTAGCAAAGGTATCCACCCGCTCCTAGATGCTGATTTCTTATGTGCCAGCAACCTACTGGTTGATGTTAAGAACAGACACCTCGTCAATCCAGAAACATTCACCTCACTCCTGTGCTCATTCAGCCACTCCGATTTCTCAAGACCATTCTCCATTCTCATTTGCTGACATAGCTGTACACATGATGTCGAACACCACATCACCACTGCCAGCCTGCCCGTCCATGCTTGCCCAAATCCTCATGTACATGATTTTTCTGACCGCTTGGCTGGGAGGCTTATCTTTTCCAAAGTGGACCTGGTCTGCGATTATCACCAGATCCCTTTGCAACCTGTTTGTCCTTTTCAAGTTCCCTTTGGGCTTAAGAATGCCACCCAGATGTTCCAACACCTCATGGACAGTGTCCCATGTGACCTGCTGTTCCTCTTCGTCTACCTGGATGACATACTGGTTGCCAGCATCTTCAGGATGAAACACCTGCAAAATCTCAGAATCCTGTTTTAGCGCCTCAGTCAGCATGAACTGATCATCAACTTAGTGAAGTGCCAGTTCAGGCAGCACACCAATAACTTCCTTGGCCGTTGCATCACCAGTGCCAGGGCTACTCTGCTTTTTGCCAAGGTGAGGCTATCCAGTGTTTCGCCCACCCTCTCACAGTAAAAGGTCTGCAGGAGTTCTTTTATCATTGTTTTCTCCATCAGGTGGCCAGCCTGATATATCTCTTCTACAAGGTGCTTAAAAGCAAAACTGCCAAAAACACCATGGTGGACTGGACTAGAGAAGGGCTCCTGAGGTTCAACACTGAATGCGCTCTGGCAGATGCTACCATCCTGGCACACCCCTCAGCTATCACCAAGGACACATCAGACTAAGCAGTGGGGGTGGTACAAGAACAATGGGTCAGTGGTACCTGGCAACCTTTTGCATTCTTCAGCCGCCAATGCCATTTCAATGAACAAAAATACAGCATCTTTAACCGTGAGCTACTTGCCCTTTACTTAGCCATTTGATACTACTTTTTCTGTCTGGAGGGCCATCCATTTTTGATGTTGGGAACCACAAACCACTGCTGTTCACTATGGCCAAGACCTCTGAGCCATGGTCCGCTCCCCAGCAATGCCAATTGGCCTTCATCTAGCATGTTGCCAGGAAAAACAACCCTGTGGCTGACTGGCTGTCTCACTCAGCCGTGGCTGCTGTACACCTAGGCATCGACTACTCACAGATGGCAGTGGACAAGGTGTCTGACCTGGAGGCCCGGTCCTACAGGACAGTGATCACAAGACAGTGATCAGCCAAGGCCCATTGTTCCAACTCGCTGACGCAGACAAGTTTTTGATGCTTTACACAACCTCTCTCACCCCAGCCGGAAGTAAGTTCAGAGGCAGCTAAGTTCATCTGGCAGGGCCTGAAAAAGGACATTCATGTCTGGGCTAAGGCATGTGTGGACTGTTAGAGTGCTAAGGTGCATTGGCATGACAAGCCAACCCTGTGGAGTTTCTTTCCTGTGCCCAAGTAAGGCTTCAATCACATGTATGTGGATTTGGTGGGACTATTCCTGCCATCCCGTGGGGTTCACTGACCTCCTCATTACTCACTGACAGGACTACAAGGTGGCAAGAGGCTATTCCACTTTTGTTGACGACATCATCTAAAATAACCTGGGTGTTCAATGGCATGTGGTTTGCATGTTTTTGGTGTTCTGAGACCACGGCCCTGAGTTCATCTCTGATCTCTAAACCAGTGTGGTTAGGGGTCTCAGGGTGCACCTTCACCACACAACCACCTACCACCCCCGGGCCAACAGGCTGTGTGACCGGTTCCGTTGCTTTCTGTGATGAGAGCTGAATGGAGAGGCTCCCTTGTGTCATACTTGGCCTTAGATTGGCCCCCAAGGAAGACCTCCAGGCCTCCTTGGCCAGACTGGTCCATGTCCACCACCGTCATCAGCAGTCTGCTTTTCATGAGTTTTTAAGGTCCTTTTTCCCCATGCCCACATCTCATCATGTGCTACAGCAGTCCTATGTTATGCCTACTCTGCACAATGCAGATTATGTGTTTGTATGGCATGATGCACACCAGGGCTCCCTCCATTCTGTCTTTGATGGCCTGTTACAGGTTCTGGAACCCAGAGACAAATTCTTTAAGGTAGATATTGGAGGCATTCCTGACAGCATCCCCACAAACCTTCTGAAGCGGGCCCACTTGGACTTGGGCAGGCCTGTGGTGGTGGCACAGTCAGCAAGACAGCCCTCTGCTGCTGTTCCCACTGTCCCTGCCAGGCAGCCAGACTGCCCTTGGGCTCAGGTCCAGAAAAAAAAATGTTGCTGTTCTGGTTGTGTGAGCAGCTGGATATGTCTGTCTTTGTGAATTCAATGCTAATTTACTTCTGATTTGTTCCATGGAAATGGAACAAATCAGAAGTAAATTAAAGCATTGCAGAAATGTTCCTCTGGACTCTTCTGTTGTGAAAAATGCTTGTTACTGTTTAGAGCGGGACACAAACTCAGAATGGTGATGGAATATTCACTGTGCAAGGAAAAATGAGAGATTTGTGAAACAGATCAGTCTTTTTAGGCTTGCTGAGATGTGTTTCTCCTGAATGTGAGGCTCTGCAGTGAACAGAGAGAAGCTCTGCTGTAGACTGCAGACTGTGTTTGTGAATGCTCAATGTTACGTATAAAAAAGAATGAAGAGGAAATGGTTCATTTGGATGTTTATTAAAGTAGACAGTCAAAAAGAACTTAATGCACACACATACACACACACATAATTAGTAGTTGTTACTTTGTCGTCTTATATTAGATACTTTATAACTTTTAGTCTTCACCAAAAAATCAGTGTAAATACTGAATAATACATAGTAGATACTGAGTCATCCACAGTATTTACTAAATAATTTATAATAGATACTGAATGATTCATAGCAGATACTAAAAAAATAAAATCACAATGAATACTGAATAATTCATAGTAGTTACTGAACAATTCATAGTGGATACTGAATAATTTATAATAGATACTAAATGATTTTTAATTTATATTTATATTTATTTATGCTTGTGCTCCGTTGTAAGTATGTTGATGCAATATGGCTGCCACTTTACTTTGTTTTGTATTATTTGTATGTATGTTTTGATGTTTTCCTGCTGGCTGAGGAGTTTGCCATCATATCCTCCGAGATAGCAGCTGAGAGTGACTTTCCAACTGTAGCTCAGAGGCTTCTTGGGCTGGTCGTTTTGGTGACGCTACATCACAGCTATGATGCAGCCTGGACCTGCCACTTGAGTGATACTGTATTGCGGCTATGAGGCTGCCTGGACCAGAAACCTGATCAGAGCTACATCGCAGCTATGTGGCTGCTTGGATGACGCTGCACTGCAGATGTGGGACTGCCTGGACCGGTAGTGTTTGGCTGCATAGTTGCAGAGTGACACTTTCCCCATGGCTAAGGACTCTTTCCGGGCTAGCTAAGTGACTGTATACTGTTGTCATTATAATCTCCCCCGCTAGCTGTGGTAATTTGTGGAGTTGTGTATGTGTGTGTGTGTGTGTTTGTGTTCTCTGTTGTTTTATTTATTGTTGATTATGTATTTTGTTATTTTCTGATCTCTTTGTAAAGCATCCTTGGGTTTGTTAAAGGTGCTATATAATTTGAACTTTATTATTATTATTATTATTATTATTATTATAGTAGATACTAAAAAGTAGTAGATACCAAATTAATTTATAGTAGTTACTAAATAATTCATAGTAGGTAATGAATAATTCATAGTGGATACTGTATAATTCATAGTAGATACTTATTTATCTAAATTGTCAGAGGGAGAAATAAAGGATAACGAGTTCAGCATTTCTGTCTCTTATCAGCTCACACCATCAGGAATCTAGCAGACGTTCAGAACCTTTTGGAACCAGTGGGCACTATTGTGTGAGGGAGATGGAGTTGGTGGTAAAGGTCAGTCTGAGTGCTGTGTCTGTTTCTGCTCTGATTCTGACACTGAGGCTGACAGAACTCAAACACACTGCACAATTTCCACATTTAAAGTAATAAAGTATAAATCGCTCAGCTGTTACTTGAAGGCAGTGTAAATGTGTCTTTCACTGCCTTACATATCTAGTCCTCTGTGTTTGTGTAGATGAGTTTATAAAAAAAGGCAGAAAACACCAGCACTGGCACAGTGGACACCACTGCCTTCTGAGCCACTGCGAGCGATTTAGCAGGTGTTAGATAGCCGGCTTGATGTTTATTTAATGCACTGTGATCACCTGATTGGTGGTTGTGCGAGAGAACTAAACTTGATTATTACTGATTCTGAATGAGACGGAAAAAACACTGACATAAATGCTTTAATGTCATTACAACACTTGCTAACTCTAAGCCCAAATCTGGAGAAAGTTTTCTAAACTGATCAAAGCATGGACCTAAAAGAGGGTTTTTATTTATTTATTTATGTATGTATTTCATTTTATTAGTCATTAAATTCAGTCTTCTGGTCACATGGGATTTTGTCTGATTTTAAACAAAACAATAGACATACAAAATATTTACACTCAAATACAAATTTAAGTGTAAGTAAAACTGGATATTTAATTTCAAATGATAGCCTTTCATGCAAAATACAAAATATTTAGTATATAAACGTTCTGTGTCATTTTTTTCTTTGTCATACTAAATTTAGCTGTTGACATGAAGTGTGTTCATATCAAGCTTAAACACAAACATGCCATCACAAGCAGTTTCCTGTCAGATAGGAGGAGGTGAGGAGGTGTGTGAGTGTTCATGCAACAAGAAGAAATCAGTCCTCAGTGATGGCAAAGGAAAAATATGGTAAACAGCTTTTATACTTTATTTATACTTTAACTCATTTTCAAAGAGGGTCATCATAGTAACTGAAACAGCCCATAATGATAAAGCTGAGACTAGTGGAGATAACAGCAGTTATATTGATAAGGGAAGATGAATGTGGTGTTTATATCAGACATACATGTCTGTATTGGATGTATTGTTGTCTATTGTTTCTGTTGCAGTGAATTTGGTTCTGTGTATCTAATCATTTAAGCAATCACTCAATATCACTCACAGACTGGCTATCAGTCTGCATTAAAGCTCCCACTGCAGTGTTTATACTGTATTGATCACTGTATTGATCAGATACTGACACATTAAGATGAATGAATTAAAGTTTGTTGTTTTTCTCTGTAGGTGACTCCCGGACGTTTGAGCCTAATTTTAAAGGGCCCATTCACAACAGGTGAGAGAGACTGTTATTCACTTCATTGACGCTGTTGTAACAGTTTATAATCTGTGCTTGAAGTCTGCTGTAAGAGGTATTTTCTTGTTTCGATTCTCATTTCTGTTAAATGTTTCCACCTCATTTCTGGTGCTTTGGCAAATTGTGTTACCTTGTCAAAATATTCTACCATAGTGGATATTTATAGATAGTGCTCTACAGAAAAGTGCACATATAAGATTTTAATAGCCTAAATCACCTTATTAAAAATGGTTACCAGCATTAGAACAATAATTAGAATATATTAACACACTGTGCACCACTGAGTGCAGTGTGTTTACAACTCAGCGTAGTGTATATAACTCAACACAGTGTGTACAAATTAGCACCGTGTGTACAACTCAGCAGAGTGTGTGTATACTGTGTGTAAAACTCAGCAGTGATTGTTGATCTCAGTGCAGTTCGTATACTTCACTGTGTGTGTGTGTGTGTGTGTGTGTGTGTGTGTAGGAGCTGCACTGATGTTTTCTGCTGTCTGCTCTTCATTCTGGCCCTGCTGGGTTATATTGCAGTCACTGCTCTTGGTGAGTTTATACATAAAAATAAATAAACATCATCTATCTATCTATCTATCTATCTATCTATCTATCTATCTATCTATCTATCTCTTTAGTGGATTAGAGATCTGAGCTACTCTGAGTGGGTGAAGAAGTGAATTGTGAAAGTGAGTAAACAATACAATAATAAACACTAACTAGAAAAGTGCATTTCATGAAGAAAATGCAAAGTGACTCTGCAGCTTAAACAGCTCCCAAGGAATTATTACCAAATGATTACTGTGGTTTCCCAGGTGGTTGCAAGGGTCTTGCTAAGTGGTTATAACAGTAGTGTTGTGCGTTGCTGTACAATGAGCAATCACAAATTATGTATTTATATACCAATTTCTAATTATGGAGTATATTATCCAATTATGCACAATTATATGTTGAGTACATAATTGCATTCATTATAATGATATAATGATATTAATACCAATTGCAATAATCAAGATCTGTGTCTATTTTACTCCCCTCTCCAGCCTGGTCTCAGGGTGACCCACAGAAGGCGATTTATCCCAAAGACAGTAGGGGGCAGTTGTGTGGTCAGAAGGGAACCCCACTGGAGTGAGTGAAACACACTCACAGTCACTCACACACAGTTTGATTGAGCGAAACCATGAGAACTCAGATGAGCTCAGTTGATTCTCACTTAGTGTGTGTGTGCACGTGTGTGTGTGTGTGTGTGTGTGTGTGTGTGTGTGTGTGTGTGTGTAGGAAGAAGCCTCTGCTGTTTTATTTTAACATCATGGAGTGTGCCAGGACAAAAGTGCTGCAGGATTTGCAGTGTCTCACCACACAGGTAATACCCCATTTACCCCAACATAGAACTCATTGTCATTGTCAGTCTCTGTGATTACACTGTGTTGTGGTCAGCCTAACTACCATGTGCAGCAGCAGTTTAAGTTATATTGTTATTGATATCAGATATTGTGTGTGTGTGTGTGTGTGTATGCATGCGTGTGTGTGTGTGTGTGTGTGTGTGTGTGTGTGTGTGTGTAGATCTGTGTGGAGAAATGTCCAGGTAGGTTCCTGACACGGAAGGAGGTTAAACGGACATATACGGAACACATACCGTACTACTCACAGTTCTGTAAGGAGGGAGTGAACACTACACTGGTGAGTTAAACACACACACTCTCTCATACACATACATACACAAACAAACACACACATACATACACACAAACACACACACACAATCATCTGTGTAGACATGATTGAGTTGTGTTGAGCTGATTGAGTTGTGCTGAGTGGACTGAATGGTGTTGAGTTGATTGAGTTGTTGAGTTGTGTAGAAATGATTGATTTGTGTTTTGAGGTGATTGAGTTGTCGTGAGTTGTGTAGAGATGATTGAGTGGGGTTGAGTTGTATAGATGCTTACATTGTATTGAGCTGATTGAGTTGAGTGGATTGAGTTGTGTTGAGTTGCGCTTAGTTGATTGAGTTGTGTTGAGTAGTGTTTAGTTGACTGAGTTGTGTTTGACTGGGAGATGGAATCCGGAGGCTAGGAAGAAGTAACCGCTGGAACGGAGGGAGTGTGACATAGTTAGTGTGTAAGTGCTGAGAGTCTCACAGCAGGATTGTGTTGAGTTGAGTTTATTGTTCTGTCACACTGATGTTGTTGTTTGTTCTTTATTTGCAGGTGACTCCCGAAGTCCTGAAACATGGAAAGTGTCCGGAATGGATCATAAACAGCAAGCCGTGTGAGTTATTCAGTTCTGCATCAACGTCTGTGTTCTCACCTGTTTATGCACCAGAATCTGATGCTTTATGCATGTGTGTGTGTGTGTGTGTGTGTGTGTGTGTGTGTGTGTGTGTGTAGTTATGCACAGGTGTTTGCCGGACCTGAAGAAGATGGAGAACGAGGGTGTAATTGTCATCGCTAACAAAACTACCTTCACTTCCGGAGACGTCAACTTGAATGTCACCGACCTGCTGGAAGCAACAAAGTCTGTGTGTGTGTGTGTGTGTGAGTGTGAATGTCAGTGTTAAACTGTCAGTGAGAAGCTGAATAGTTTTTGTGTTTGTGCAGGAAGTCCAACATCATTGTAGAAGCTCAGGAGGTGGCCATGAGGATCTTTGAGGATTACATTAAGTCGTGGCACTGGATCCTGCTGTGAGACTCTCAGCCATTACACACCAACTAACATAAGCCTCACACACTGCAAAACACTACACTGTACAACATTGCATAGCACTGTTGCACAGCATTGCATAGCACTGAAAAATACTGTATAACCATGTATAAATCTGCATAAAACACTGTATAACACTGCACAACACTGCATGAAGCTGTGAACACACTGTACAGCGTTGCACTGCAAAAAGTACATGGTACAATGCACCATTACACTGTATAACACTGCAAAACACTGTATAAGAACTGTACTTAGAGTGTATATAGTGTTATACTTAGGTGTATAACACTATATAACACACCTTATAACACACTGTGTAACACTGCATAAAACTATATAACTTTTACACTGCATAACACTGTAAAACACTGCAAAACTGTATGAGAGTGTATTACGCACTGTATTACACAGCATGACATATGGCATAACACACTGTGTAACAAACTGCATAAAATTGCATAACACACTTCATCACACTGCATACACTGCATAACACAACACACTATAACATACTGTAACACTGCATAACACACTGTATAACAGTAGAACATTGTATAATATGTCTCTCTCTCTCTCTCTCTCTCTCTCTCTCTCAGTGGATTAGTAATTGCCATGGTGCTCAGTCTGCTCTTCATCTTTCTTCTGCGTTTTCTGGCTGGGGTCATAATCTGGGTGATAATCATCTCGGTCATCCTTGTTATTGGTTATGGTGAGGACGTTTCTTCTGCTGTAGGTCAGGCTGTTTTCCTGCTCCAGTAAATAGTCAGCTGAACTGCGTTTATGTGGAAAACAAACTGTGTGTGGGGTTCATGTTTCACACAAAAAAATAAAAAGCAGAGGACCTACTGAATATCTGTGTGCTAGTAATACAAAACCATGCATGCAGTATATTTACTCTGTCTGTAGGTAGTTAGCATTCTTCGTCTGTTAGTTTACTCCATCTGTTAGCTTACTCCATCTGTTAGCTTACTCCATCTTTTAGTTTACTGTCTGTTAGCTTACTCACTGTCTGTAGCTAGTTAGTTTACTATTTAGCTAGTTAGCATACACTTATGTTTAGTATGTTTAATATTTAGTACTTTATTTAATTTAATTAAAACAGTATTTAATAATATAATCAAATTGAAAATGAACATTTAATTTAATCACCCCCCCCCCACCTCTGTCTCAGGTACCTTCCAATGTTATATGCAGTGCGTGAAAGGCCAGGCTGAATCAGGCCAGGCTGAATCAGATCTTATCATAAAGGATCTGGGGCTCCAGGAAGGTTTCTCCATCTACCTGCAGATCCCGCAGACCTGGCTGGCCTTCAGTGAGTTTGTTACTATTATTATTATTATTATTAGTAGTAGTAGTAGTAGTAGTAGTAGTATGATTATTTTTAATTTTATTATTATGTGTGGTGGTTATCTTTCAGTCTGTGTGTGTTTCTTTCTCAGCAATTATCCTGGGTATTGTGGAGCTGGTGATCATCCTTCTCCTCATCTTCCTTAGGAAGAGAATCATCGTCGCCATCGCTCTCATTAAAGAGGCCAGCAGGTGAGCCCCCCACCTGGCCCCCCCATGCACACATGCTGCTTCAACTAGACTGAGACTTCAAATACACAGGTGTTATAAAGATGTTACCTGCCCTTCTCACCTGCCCATGCTAGTCCGGTCTGAAACAATTCTTCTGTTTTAAGCCACGGTCACAGTCAACAGAAACATTTGCAGTTTGCCTCACCGATGCTGGACAGAAGTTTAGGTGCAGTTGTAAAGCAGCTAAGTCGCTAACTGTAAACAGTGATGATGCAAAAAAGTGAAAAAAAAAATCAGATAATTATACTAATTAATTAAATAATTATACACACAAAAGCATAGTTCTGTACACTAGTCTGCAGTAATAACATGTATAAATCTGATGTGGTTGGCTACAGTGAACTGTGTACAGCTGCGGTTAGCCAAAAAGCTAACATCACAGCTAGCAAGCTGGCTATTTCTCTCTTTAAGTCTCTCTTTATGTGACTGTTTATAGTGAGTGGTGATGAACTGCTTAAAGGTTTGTGATTAAATGCTGCTAAAATTAGCAATTCCTCCGTTTTGGAAGTTCAGTGCTGCTATATGAAGCCCCATCCCTTTAGGTGTCAACACAGCCAAATCAGCAGCGCTTCTGGTCAAGGATGCAAATTTGAGTGTCAAATTCCATGTTTTGTTTATTTTCTAAGTGAAAATTGATTGTAGTTATTAGCATTATAATTTTGTTATAGTTGTGTAATTGTAATTTTCACATCATTTATTTTTTAGGGTGCTGACTCATATGATGTCATCGCTGTTCTACCCTCTGCTGACCTTTGCCCTCGTGTCTCTGGCGATTGCATACTGGGCCGTCACCGCTGTGTATCCATCTCAGAGTTACACACACTCTTATAGCACAACTGACTCACCTTACAGACACACCACCATCACTCTCAGTCACTTTCACTCAACTAACAGACAGACAGACATACAGATACATAGACAGATAGATGGATGGATAAATGGATAGATGGACAGACAGACAGACAGACAGACAGTCAGACAGACAGATAGATAGATAGATAGATAGATAGATAGATCGATAGATAGATAGATAGATAGACATTGTACTTAGAAAAGCTGAGGGCACTTCAAAGTAATATAGATGTAAATTTATATTACAAATCTACGGAGCCCTGCTGGTGACATCCCATATATATATATATATATATATATATATATATATATATATATATATATATATATATATATATATATGATGTGTGGTCACGCTTTTTTAATGCGTGGAAACGAGAACCTAATGCGTGGCAATGAGAAGTAAGGCATGGGAATGAGATCATGCCTTACTAAGTTGTGGCCATGCATTAGGATCTCATTCCCATGCCTTACTAAGTCGTGGCCATGACTTAATTATCTTGTTCCCATCCCTTACTAAGTCATGGCCATGCACGTCCAGCTGATCCTTAACCGCCTCCTGCAGCTATCTATCCACTTCCAATGAGCCAGTCTATAAAGTTTTCAACATCACAGAGTGTGAATACTCCAGACAGACCTGCAAACCTGAGGTCAGTCTCCAGAAACACCTTTTAATAATATTATTAATAGTCGATAATAATAAATTGATAGTCATTCTTTAAAAGAGTTTGATTTTATATTTTATTTTGTTCCTCTTATGAAATTTGTGTGTATTTATGTACCATAATTCATTTCTGCATGACCGTTTACTTCTTTTTATACCTTACAATGACACAGGCTGTGGTAGACTGAATGGGTGGGGCTAAACTGCTGTAGGCTGAATAGGAAGTCACATATAAAGGAGTTCATGGTGGTGATGTGATATATGCAGATTCTTAATTTTCTTTTTTTCCCACAGACGTTCAACAGCTCTAAAGTCCTCACGCAGTGCCCAGATGCGGAATGTCTGTTTGCATTCTATGGTGGAGAGACGTACTTCCATAAGTACCTGATCGTATTCCAGTTGTATAACATGTGGATGTTCTCCTGGTGTGTGAACTTTGTGACGGCGCTGGGTCAGGTGACCCTGGCCGGGGCCTTCGCCTCCTACTACTGGGCCTTCAACAAACCGGATGACATCCCGACGTTCCCTGTCTTCTCCTCACTCGGACGGGCCCTCAGGTGTATTCACTATTCTTACTGCCCAACTCCGTTTCATAGCATCACAAAACTTGGTCCAATAGTTTGCTAACAATTCAAATTTACAGTCTTAATCCTGAACCTAGCAGAGCCGGCAAGCAGAAAGACAACTTCCTTAATATGTCTGAAGAGAGTGTGTGATGATTTAGTCATGCAGTCAGTACCATGCTAATTGGAGGTGTATAAGCTTCCATTACCTGTGAGTACATTAGCCTCACAGCTCCAGAGCTAAAACTGAAGAAGAAAACTTCAGACACCACACATGACTACCTTTGGGGTTCTGGACGAGGGCTGTGTAAATTTTATTTTTGCCTTTCACTTTAATATACTGCTTACCATTCCAATGGGAACTGGCTTAATGGTTACCATTAAAAATCACTAGTTTCCTGTGGGACACCTATAGATTCCATTAAGAAACCATCAGATTAATCTGGAGTCAGTCCCAGAACATCATTAAACCATTAGAATCCTTTACACGAGTCCGTCAGGAAAACACACAATACCATAAGTTACCGTTGGACACCGCGAAGAACCAACAGACACTTTTAATGGTTTCTATGATTTCTTTCAGCAAGGTGGAGCTACCACGCTAATTTAGATAAGAAGTAATGGAAGCTTGTACCTCACCAATTAGCAAGATGCTAACTGCATGTCTAAATCATCACACACTCACTCGAAATATGTTAGTGAAGTTGGCTTCTTATTCAAATTTCCGTCCCACCTTAAATGATGCAGTTACATTCTGGTGCCTGCCTACCATTTACGGCAAAACAACAGACATGCTAATATGGTTTCTAACACTGTTCTTGGACTATAAATGCATTAAAACAGTAAAAACAGTTGCGTAATACTGTCTCTCTCTCAGGTATCATACAGGCTCGTTGGCCTTTGGTTCTCTGGTCCTCTCCATCAATCAGGTGATCATCATGATCCTGGAGTATCTTGAGAAGAAGCTGAAAGGTGAGCTGGAGCTTTTGTTCCTTTTCTGCCTCTCGTTTCTCCTGTTTTTTTCTGTTTATTTTGTTTTTGGTCTCACAGCAGAAAACTATGAGAAAGCTGTCTGTCTAAATCTGACTTCAGAGGTGTTCCGTCATGTGCACGTCGCCATTGGCAACAGTAAAGTCATTTTATTTTTTTACCCATGTAGAACCAGAGTCAAGTAAAATTGATTTATATAGCGCTTTTTGCAACAACTGGTGTCACAAAGCAGCTTTACAGAAAAATCTGGGTCCGAGCCCCCATGAAAAGCTGAGAGCAACCAAGACTCAAAAGGGGAGCCCATCCTCCTCTGGTCCACAGTGGAGAGCAAAACTATAACACAAGAGCAAAATGAACAGAGAATAAGGTTTTAACAATAATACAAAATATTAAAATTACAGGAAAGGGGAGAAATCAGCCTGTGATTGGACAGAAGTGTTTAGATTAATCAGCGATAACTGATGACTGTTAGAGGCCGATCAGGGTAACACTGAGAAACAGATCTGTGAGAATCAGTCAGTGTTATCTGTGAAAACTATGAACATCAGTGACTTACAGAAGCCAGTAATGCGATCTGTGAGCTGCTGTGTTTGCTATCACTGTATAAAAGATGCATGAGGCTCCTTTATTGTTGGATGCACCATGTTTTTTCAGAGTGAGTTGGCATGAGCTCGTTCAGAGCCCGGTTCTGATCAAGAAAAGCTTATTATTGATTTGTTTGTTTATTGACTGCTGAGTGACGATTTCTTGAAAATTTCAAAAATGGGAGTTTGTGGCAGAAACTGAAAAAAATAAGGGTTTGTAGCTTTGTTAGGTCGCAGTCTTTACATATCAAATAAATGCAACAACAGCATTCAGAAATTGAGTTATTACTAGAAAAAGTTTAAGTGACAGAAATAGACACTTTTTGTGTTGAAAAGTTGCAAAACTTTTGTGATACACAATGTATAACATATGCAAACATTTAATATTTAATATAAACTATTTAAGAAGAAATAAGTCAAACATTTGGCTTAAATAATTAAATAAAACAACTCAGCTGCTTGTTACTATGCAGTTTATGCAGTCACTACATGGTTGTTGTTTATAGTCTTTAATATGATCCATGCAGGTGTTGTAGTTCTGATGATTATTAAACAAACATTTGATAAAACATTAATGCTAAAATATCATCATATTGATAGTATTCCGATGACAGAATTGTGCTTTTTTGGTATGCAACTTCAAGTTCATTCAGCAGTGCTGTGGCTGTTTGTAATGAGATAAAGCGATAAGTGATCAAGTGAAAGGCAGTAAATCATGTTTTCTGAAATACTTTTTTAAATCTCATTTTAAAATATATTAATATTTGATTTGATTTGTTGCTGTAGTGATGACAACTAAAAGCTGAAATCTAAACGGCAGAGATTTCCCGCTGCGTTACTTCTGCTACATCCCAAACCACATACTAGCACACTAAGTAGCGCATATCCCATTAGAAGTGCACTCATTAGTGTAGTATGTGAAGTACAAAATTGTGTGGTTTGGGACGCAGCGTTAAATCAGCCAGTGAGACGCATTCAACAGCTGCTCTGCTGTGCTGCTTGCTAGCTGCTCATTAAACACCTCCAAGCCAAACTAAGCATGGTCTTCTTAATGAGACAATACTATAAATTGACCCCTGTATTCTCTCTCTCTCTCTCTCTCTCTCTCTCTCTCTCTCTCTCTCTCTGTCTATTAGTTGCTACAAACAGAGTTGCTAAGTTCATCATGAGGTGCCTGAAGTGCTGCTTCTGGTGTTTGGAGAATAGCATCAAGTTCCTTAACAGTAACGCCTACATCACGGTATGACTGTTGTACTGAAATTTAATGTTAGCAACTCTGTACAGTTCCTGTATTTTTCCCTCTAAGTATGCAAATACAGTTAAACTATACTTTCACTTTTACTTGAGTTCCTTTCTAATAAATTATGCAACATTGCTATTTTTATTTTTAACGACAAATGATTTTCTCAACTTCCAAACTGAGCAAACACTTAGCTTGCTAACTAAGCTACTCTTAACCAGATAAATAGCTACTCTTCTTTTCTTTTCTAGAATAACAAATGCAAAAGATATTTATTAATCCTAAACTGCTTCTATTGTTTTCTTTTGATAGCCTGTTAGCTATCTTATTTAGCTAATGCCACATGACATTCGAGCTAAGCTAATGTTTTAGCTTACAATAAACTCAGCATATCCTGACATATTGGAGCTTCTTTCTGTGAGGAAAAAATGTTAAAGAAATTCAAAGTGCTTTATTTACTCCTACACTTCTCTAAAACCTACTCATGCTTCTTTATTCTTCATTTTCTTTATTAATACTTTTACTTTAAGCAAATTTATGGTAGCCAAATCTTACAATGATTTATCAGTACTCTTTACAGACTTTTAGAAAGCTGTGTAGTTTACTTGGATGCAACTAAACAATACTTTAATTTTTTACCATTAAACTGACAACTTCCAAACCGAGGAAACACGTAGCTTGCTAACTAAGCTAATTTTAGCTAGATAGCTAATTTGTTCTTTTACTCATTCTTTTCATTTAGAATAACAAGCACAACAGCCCTTTATAAAACCTAAATCTGTTGTTTGTGTTTTTGTCCTTGTTTGCTATCTAAATTAGCTAATACCAGCGAATATTCTAATAGGTTAGCTTATTATCACTGAGATCTTAGTGTGTTCGAGCTTCTTTCTGTGAGAAAAATGTTCCTTAAAGAAACTCTTTTTACTCTTGTACTCTTTAACTCTTACATCTATTTACTGTCTAGTCATTTATCAATACATTTTTTGTATTGAAGTGAATGCATCAAGACAGTGGTGGTGCGTTAATCCTAGTTAGGTAGGATTTTTACAGTCCTCCTGTTGGAAAGCTGTAAAGTTGATTTTAGTATTGATGACTCTGCATCTCAGAATTAAAGGTTAATAATGATTTTTCACTCATTCTCTCTCCCAGATCGCCATTTATGGTAAAAACTTCTGCACGTCTACTAAGGACGCTTCCTGCCTCCTGATGAGGAACATTGTCCGGTGAGAGAAACTACACATCACACAGTGCGGTTACTCAGCCGGTATCAGACAGAGCTAATCGATTACGGAAAAAATAATCAGCAGAGTGGAAAATACTTCAGTGATTGTACTTTGTTACTGTACTTAAGCATTAAAGATGCGTATTTTACTGAAGTATTATTGAAACTGAATGCTTGTACTTTTACTCAATTACATTTCTAACAGAAAAAAACAGACATTTATACTCTTTATGTTTTAATTGAGACATTCAGAGTACTTGTTACAAAGTCTTGTGGTCATTTGTATAAAACATCAATAGTCTTGGCCTTTTATTTCAACATCAACATCAACATCACCAACATCATGGCCTTTTATTTTAAGTGAGCTGTAGAAAATCTCTCCATGGGAATGTTTTAAGGGGATGTAAAATATAAACTTGAAATTTAAGCTTCATCACCTCATTTTTTCAAAAAAAAAAAAAAGTTTTAAATTTGTAGGTTTGAGTTGATCCCTAAGGCATTTAAGATAAATACGTTTTTTTAAAATAAGTATCAGTAACTGAATGGTTACTGTAATAAAGATCTTTTCTGTACTGAATTCCTGATTTATGTTTCAGGGTGGCCAAACTGGACAAAGTGACGGACTTCCTGTTGTTTCTGGGAAAGGAGCTGATAGTGGGGATTGTGGGTGAGTGCTGAGAGCGGCTCATTAAAATATACTTCTAAATCTGATGGCTGTTCCCCACAAACTAGAACAAACCTCACAGTAAAGCAAGAATATTTGCTCTCAAACACAAGCTCAGGAATGTTTTTTCAGCTTTTTGAAGCCATCTGTGCTGAGTGGATCAATACTGACTCTTCTTTCTGTAAAAGACTGTCTGCAATTTTACCCAAAAGATTTTAACATTTAAAGAAATCATAGCCCTCCCATATTAAGATACTTTTTGTAATAATATGTTGTTAAGACCTTCAAAAGCTTCATATTTTGCCATTGTGGGTCTGGCCCATTTTTTAGCACAGGAGTGCAGTCGATCAAACATGTTTGGTGTCTGAAGCTTGCTTCTTTAGTTTTAGTCTCTAGTAGACTTGATTCAGTGGTTTCTGACACTGTATGGCCTTGCTTCCACTGCAGGGCCGAATGGTTCTGAGCACAGAGGGTAACCGTTCCAGACGCTTTTCCACACGGACACGAAACGCTTAAAAACTGGGCTCAGTGTGTGTTTTTTTTTTTTGACACAGTTAGCTAACTGTGCTCCAGACCACAGAACCGTTTGGTGGAATGATGTAAAGGTGTAGCTATTAACTGTTCCAGTATTTATGTCGGTATTGTGCCACCACATCCTGTGGCATTATTTCAAACCAGAAAATGATCAAATAAGTTCAGTTCGCTCACATGGACAAAAATGTATGACAGGGGTTAGTGTTGGTGTTAGGCTGACTTGAGTGTGCAGGGCATCTCTATAGGCAGATACTTGTTGTTTATAAGCTTCAGCATGAACAGGAAGTTTTGATTGATAAAGTCTTTCCTACTGATGGCCAGCCTGCTTCATTTCACAAAGTTCAGAAGTATAGCAGGTCATGGAGGTGCTGAAGAGACACATTTAGTTTTCAGAGGTGCTAAAGGTGTGTCCTTTAGGACAGGAAAATTAAATTTTCTATTAAATTAGTCTTTTGTCGAAGCCCTACTACTGATGCTGTTTTTCTTAATATCCTTGTCTTCCTTGATCCCACTGCAGCCTTTGACACTGTAAATCATGACATACTTATTTCCAGACTTTCATCCATAGGAATTTCAGGCTTAGCTCTTCCTTGGTTCCAAATCCCCAAATGTTACATATTGGTGCTTTAAACTTTGGTAATTCATCCGTGGTTCACCAAGATCAACATGCTCAGGGGGGTGTCGGCCCGCTTAATCGGTGCACCAGAGTTCGGATGGCAGCGTTCTCACTCGCTCTAACGAACCGCACTAGGGCTCGCACCCTAAATTCAGACTTCTACTTCTGGCTGCTACTGTTTTCAGCTATGCAGTGCACTTTTGTGATGATTTAAATGTAACACAATGAGTGAGTTTACATGCACCCAATAATCCAATCCTAATCGGATTTCTGCAGTTATCTGATTATTAAGTGGACGTGTAAACAGCATACTCTGATTTCTCAGATCAGATTAAGGTCTATAAATCTGATAAAGAGGCTGGATTTGAGCTCAGTAATGGTGTTTTTCAGTGCATGTAACTCTCACTCTGATTTCTTTCATTTCTCTCAGTCTGTGCATGTGTGAAAACAGAGCGCTGTCCCAGAAACAGCAAGCAGTGTTTAACACAGCACCCGCGAGACGCAACACAACACTTTTGGAGTGACGCTGAAACTGACTACATGCTCAACCAAATGAAGGATTTGAATATTCTTCATCTTCTAAATGATGCTTATTCATATTTTCCTCTAAATGTTTTAATAAATACCGCTCATGATGTTTGAGTTTTATATTACGTTTACATCACGTCTTTAGTTATCAGATTATTAAGTGTAAACACACTGAACCAGTTACTGACACAATAAGATTTACTGCAGATATCAGATTATTACGTGTAAACACACTGAACCAGTTACTGACTCAATCTGATTTTTTTTCAGTTATCAGATTATTAAGTGCATGTAAACACACCCAATAGTAATTGGTATATGTTACACACAGTAGTAAATGAAGAGCCACCATACGTGAATACATGATCTTTTTACGAATGAGTTTATTTGTGCTCTTCACGAGTTGAAAGCATAAAACAATGCACATTTCGTCAGCTTGTAAAACTGGGCTGTACACAGAGCTCTTGCAACACACTCGATTGTGCAGGACCCCATAGCTGTGCTAAACACTTAAATGCTGTAATGCTGAGTGAGCAATACTTTGCTGGTATTTGTTTCAAACGAACAAAGCATACTGCAATTATTTATAGTGGGGTTTACAGTGCATAGTGACAACCAAAACTAAAAATAAATAAATAAATAAAAACTGAAAAAAATAAGGGGGGTTATTCATATACAAAAACATAAAGTACTCCTGCAGATATAATGGATCTGCTAAAGAATTTGGGAAAAGTAGTAACTTCAGCTGTTTTCTTCTCTGTCCTGTCAGGAGTCTGCTCTTACTTCTTCTTTACTGGGAAGATAAAGGCTGTGGAGGAAGTGACTCCACCACTAAACTATCGCTGGGTTCCCATCATGGTGAGATCAGACACCAGCAGTAACAACATACCAATAACATGGGCGACAGCAGAATTCAAATCAGCTTTGCATTATTATAATAATTATTCTTGTTATTAGCATTAATATCAGATCTTTGAAATTATTTAGCATTAGCATAAGTATTAATGATACACCACAATAATACAGGCTATAGTGGTTGGTATAGTGTATTTGTTGACTCTACTGCCCTCCATGCTGCAGATGAGTTTGATCCTAAAAGTGACCATATTGTAAGATGCTCAGCCAAATGCCATAAATGTAAATGATACAAATACTGCTGTATTTAGATCAGTTCTCTAAGATTAATTAACATTAGCATTATTAATAACACAGTATAGCTACTGCTGTATTTAGATCAGTTCTCTGGAATCAATTAGCATTAGCATTATTGATGATACAATGTATTTAGATCAATTCTTTGGAATAAATTAGCTTTATAGATACCGGAATATAACTACAAATACTGCTGTATTTGGATTAGTTCTTTTGGATTATTAGAATTAGTATTAGCATTATTGACATAACACAGTAATCCATAGTAATCCTTAGTTCCTGCTGTGTTGTTGTGGTATATCAGGATGTTAAATGTTACTGAATCAGCTGTATTTTTTGCTACTGTGAGAAGTATTACCAGGTTGTTTCACTGCAGTGTGTGTTTGTTCTAGACGGTGATGATTGGCGCCTACATCATCGCCCATGGCTTCTTCAGCGTCTACGGCATGTGTGTGGACACTCTGTTCCTGTGCTTCTGTGAGTGTTAAAGCTTGATATATTCTGGCAGAGAAAATGCAACACTCAAAACCTTCTGTCAGGAAAATACAGTATGCTAAAAATATCAACCCACTGCAGGCCAAACGTTTAGGGACGTCTCACCATCTTTTAAAATTGTACTTTACAGTAAAGTAAGACTAATGCTAGTGCTTTGGAGGTATTTATCTTCAACATTAATGCAGCCTTTACATACTGGTGCTGAAAAAACATCGTTCCGTGCCGTGGTACACAACTGACATTGACAGCAATGGAAATGTTGGCAAGGTGACAGGCTGTTTCCTTCTCTTTTCACTTTGACGTTTCTGAAATGATTGTGAGCTCTTTCGTCTGGCTTTGAGTCTAATCCTTTTCTTTTTCTCTCTTTCTCTGCATCATCTTGCTCTCACCCACTCTGCTGTCTTTCTGCCGCCTCTCTGCTCTCACTATAAACCACTAACGTTAACCCAAAAAGCGTGCTGACCCGCCGGGCCAAAGTGTGGACCTGGAGAGGAATAACGGCTCATCTGAACTACTGTACTTCATTTCTCCAACGCTGCACCTGTCTGTGAGCAAAGCAGCGGAGGAGGTTGATCATGCAGCGACGGAGCAGGAGAAGGATGTGCCGCTGCAGGAGAACAACGAAGTCCGGCTGAAGCAGCAGGATGTTCTCAAGCAGGAGAATGAAGGGGAGACTGCGCAGAAGCCAAGCCTCATGAGAATGGCCCTCAGGAGAACAAGACTCCACTAACACCTCAAATATATCAAAAATACTAAATAAAATACTAAATAAAAACGACCTCCTGCGGCACAGCCTTGCTGGTGGGTAGCCCAACTGTGGCACCGTGAGCGTCCTTGAGTTTGGCGGTTGTTGCCTCTCAGCTGACAAGTGTGCCACTGTCGGTGCGAGGGATCATGCCTGGACGTAGCAATGACACCAGTGTCAGTGAGGGCAGCCTACGCTGCACTAGATCCAAAGGTTGCTGCTGCAGCTGATCTTCCTGGCAGACCTCGGCGCAGCGCTGCCTCCTTCTGCAGCACCAGCACATCAGTCGTTCCGCCTCCAATTGCTCAGGGGCCTCTCTGCACATCATCACCTCCCTGAGCTTTTGCTGCTAGTCGCCACGCTGCTTCTTTTGCCGTCTTCTCAGTTTCCTGGCTCTGCTTCTGAGCCTCACTGCGTCAGTAACAGCAGCTGTAACTTCTAACGTCATGTTCATTACATGTTTACGTTTCAGCTGTGTGCGTATGGTCGGTTGCTAGGTAACAGACACGACAGTTGATTATCGACTTCAATCGAGTAGTTAAACGATAGAAGGGATGCTTAAACAGAAGTTAGGACACTGTTGGTGTTTATCCTAAAGTTAGGACAGTACTTAGCTCTAATCGTAGTGAGAGAGAGTTAGAGGTTTACACCATTACTGTTCACTGCTGAGCTGTTCTGATTTAATGGTTGTTCCCTCAGTGGAGGATCTGGAGCGCAATGATGGATCTGCAGAGAGGCCGTACTTCATGTCCAAGAGTCTCCAGAAGATACTCAATAAAAAAAACAAGGTTATGAGCGAATAAACCTCCAGAGAGAAGAGACAAAGGAGAAAAAACATGAGGAGAAAGTGGGAGAACCCAGTGATCAGAGATGGTTTTATTTGTATTAACAGTGTGGACTCCAGTCAGATCACTTTACTGTTCATTCTGAGTGTAATATTGTGAGTTTTGAGCTGTTTCACTGTTACTGAGTGTTACATTTGCATTTTAGAGGTTAAATTCTTTAATATTCATCTGTTCTGACTGTATATTTATCATTTGGTACTGTTTATTTACCTTTTTCTCACGTTGTTTGTTGTTTTAATGTATGCTGTCCAGTCTGAGGATTGGTACAAGTATCAAAATGTCAAAATCAAAATAGTGAGAGTTACATTTTATTTTTCAAAAAGATGAATACTCATTTTCTCTCATTCTGAAATGTATTACTCATCTGATATTCTTCTATTTACTGATTTAGCTGAAATATTTTTTTGCTGCTGAAATCTTTCTTTTGCTTCTGATTTTTGGCACTTTTTAAGGGTGTGGGTCTTAGAAGAGGGCATTCACCAGCACTTTCTATTGGTCAACTAAATTGGAGTGACAGGTCTTCTGAACATGTAGGGTGAGTTACACCAACAAGGATTAAGCTTAAACTTGGATTACATCAAAGTTTATATAGGGACTTTGTTGTAACTCATTTATGGTTAAAGATTCTCCCCACAAGGGGGCGCTGTTAGTACTCATGTAGCTCTTGTGCGCATCCCTGAAGAAAATAAACAGAGCAGCAGGATTAATATGACTGAATATCCTCCAGATAAGCTTTGTTGGTCTGGGATGAGCAGCTTGTCATATGGCTATCTAGCATTAACAGTCAACAGGCTAAAAGTTTACTTTAATAATGCTCGAGTTAGGCTTTAGATTTAACTTTATTTAAATTTAATGATGGAGCTTTTACTATAAAACTGCAGCTTACTGAATAACATACAGATCCTCTACTGAAAATATTTTGATTCAAATTCACCAACAGGTGTTGTATATATTATAAGCAGCTTTAGTGTATATTGTAAGCGGTCTTCTCAGTGCTGAATGAACAGCGCCCCCTGCTGACGCAGAGCCTCTGGGTCTAATAACGGACTGTTTAAACGTCTGAATCTGCTTTTTCTGTGAGATCTGTTTCTGCTGTAGCTCTGAGCTAGTTTACACTCAGAATGAAATAAAGTACCTTACATACAGTGATTAGTGTGGACAATGATGGTGGTCAATGAAAATGATGGCTGGTTTAATCACAGATTTGTTTTTATTTTTAACCCAATTTTCTCGTCTCCAATTCCACCCGCTAGTTAGGACTCCCCCAATCACACGATACTATCAACGCTAGGAGGGCGAAGGCTAACACAGGCTTCCTCCGAGACCTGTGAAGCCAACCACCGCTTTTTTTCGAACTGCCGCTGACGCAACGTCACTGGACAGCCGAACGCGCTTGGAGGAAAGCGCCAACCGCCAGATCTGTTACGTCAGCTAACAGACGCCTGCGCTGACTAGCATCGCGCTGAGTGCTGGGGGGAGAAGGAGGGGCCATCCTACCCACCCAGAGAGAGCGAGGCCAATTGTGTTCTCTCGGACTCCCGGCTACGGATGGCTGTAGCATCACCAGGGATCGATCTCACGATCTCCTGATGATAGGGCCAACACTTAGACGGTTGCGCCACTTGGGAGCTTGTTTATCCGTGTTTAAATTTAAGTCGTGTAACACAATTTGAAATAAAACCTGGATTAACAAATCCTTGATTAGCTCTAAACTCTGTTTAACCTTGTTGGTGCGGCCCACCCGTAGCCACTCAGCGTGAACCGCCAAGCACGGCATAACACGTCCTAAGTGGTGTTCTGAGTGCAGCGCTGTCTGACCTGCATATCTCAGCAATGTGTGTCGTTTTCCTTTTACGTTCCTAATGTAATGCACGTTTATGGGTCCTGTGCCAACCTGTATGAAAGGATATAGTTTATGAAAGAACAAAACTACCTTTCGAGTTTGCAGAGATTTAATCAGGAGATTTAGTCTAGTTAGGATGTTTGTGTAATACTGTTTTCCTATCTGGAGTTAATGATAATATTACGAAGTTAAGAACTGTTATTCTGTAATAGCTACTTTCCTAAATTTAGTCTGTACTGAATTCATCATGGAGAACAAACAGATCAGATTTCCAAGTTAAGAGGTTTCTGTAATACGACCACTGTTTACAAACGTTACTAGGTGTGCAGTCAGGGGGCAAAACTGCTTTTGTAACAAAACGTAACGTTAGTGAGCTGTTCTAATCAACATAGATTTCGCATTGTTCACAAATTATTGTTGACTCAATAATAAAATGGCAGCGTTTAATCTGTTTGTTTGTCTTTCATTTGTATATTAATACAGCATTATTCAAAACTTTAGCCAACGATAGTTGACCATCAGTATCAGCTAATCATCAGGTCTCTATAATAAACGCCCCACTAAGTTTGCTAATCACTGAATGTTTAGCTAATAGGAGCTCTGAACCACAGAGACCCTTATAGCTTGTCATGTCCTATGAATTTCACCCAGCTTAACCTGGTTTAGTTGTTAGTTTTGAGTCTGTCTATTCTTTTCTTTATCTGACAATATCAGGATCATGGTAGTACCGTTAGTGTCGCTAAGCTAAGTAAACTGACATTTTAGCTGGCTTGCTAGGCTTAGTTTAGTTTAGCTATCATTGATAAGAATGACACACAGTGCTAACTCACTCATTACCTCACTAGCTAATGTTAGCAAACAGAAACGTACCGGAATTGTGAAACCTTGTGGAAATGTCTGACCATAGCAGGTATTTACAGGCTGAGCTCTGCATAAAACTGTGGGTGGGATATTTTGATAATCTAAACCACATGGACCCCAATCCACCCTTTTGATGGCCTGGATCCATCATCTTCTGTGGTGTCTGGCAAAGGGATGTGATCCCCTCGGCATATTAAACATTCTCCAGCCATCTTCTCTGCGGTCGGTGCTGTTTACAGCACAACAGCTCCTTGTCATTGTTGCTTAGCTGAGCACCTTCTCTGTGAAGACGTTACACAGAAACCTGTCTATAAAACTTTCCCTGATTCCTCTTCACCTTATTTAAGTCTGTGTTCAGACTGCAGGTAAACCGGATTTGTTTCTCTAATCAGATCTTTTGAGGCGACTGTCCCAGCACTTCTGTCACTCTGGATTTGACGTTGTTATTTGTCGCATTGCGAGTGACACACAAAGCATTTTGGAATCTGATTTAAGCAGCCGAGCTTACAGACTGAGACGCATCTGTAAAAATCCAATTGAAGTCCCTTTTCAACCACCTCCAAATGTGGTTTGGATCCAATTTGCCGAAAGTGGATTTCATGTGGTTTTTAGGTGTCCTGACTATCAAAAAAGAATCTGGATACAATCTGGATATGACTGAAATCATATGTAGGCAGGCAGTCTGAACAAGGCCTAAGTCAGTTACTGCAGTTAGAATCTGTGGCCAAGTATAATACAGATTACATCAAAGTAAGGACCCCTAACGTTAACACATATGGCCTTTTGTCATTCCATAAATAAATTCCCCAGAAAGCGAGCATATATCGGTCCGCTGTTTTGATAAGTGCGGCATCCTACTGCTGGTCCACCCTCGGACCACCCAGATCACTGCCCTACATACAAGGTCTAACTCATTTTTAATCTACTCAAACAGATTACAAATGCACATAGACCTTTATTTTGAAAAATAAAATAAGACAAATATTACAAACTTGTAAGAGAAAAAAAAATATGTCTAGGCCTGATATATTTTTTTATGTTGCTAGGTTGGTTACAGTTATATTACTGACTTTATTTATTATATTAATGTTAAAATAATTTATTAAACTAATGTACAAAGGATAATGAAAGAACAATTTAAAAAATGCATATAATTCAGCACTTCTAAAAACATCTTAAAACAGTTTTCCTTTTGAAATAATTCATTTTATTATTGTTAACAATTATTTGTTAAAATAAATACGTGGTTAAGGTCTTGATTTAATGATTTAAGTGAAAACTGTGTTTAATTTCCGTTCGCTGATTGGCTGGTTTTGGGAGATGGGGCGGGGCCTCCGCGGATCCACAGCGGAAAAGCGAGTTGCCAAGACGACAAGTAAACGAACACAGCAGTGAAGCCGGACCGCAGCGTGAAGATTACAAAGATCATAATATTGAATAATGTCGGCCTTTTTCGGCTCAGGCAGCATCAAACCTCCGATTCACGATCAAATCGCCGAATTACAGAGAAAAATCCAGCAGCTCGGTGAGAGTTTGTCTCTGTCATTTTTATAAACCCGTACAGACTGATTGAATTTCACTGATTAAGAGAGCAGAAGTGCAGATGATGCACTGGAATAGCTCAGTGTGTGTTTTATAGCTAATATCAGTCAGTTAGTTAACTTCAGCGCAGCTTTGTGTCTCTTAGTTCTCTGTTTTGTTGTGGAGCAACGTTACAGTGTCGCTGAGCGGCTGTTCTGTTCTTGGCCACCAGAGGGCGAAAAAAGCGCATATTATGAGAGCTCCCAAAGCACCCTCAAGGAGAACAGAGAGCGCATCCTGCAGCTCAGAGAGGAGAACAGGAGGCTGAGGACGAGACTGGCACACGCAGTCAGTGTAACACACACACACACACACACACACACACACACACACACACACACACACACACACACAGTAAACACCACATACACACACACACACACACATACACACTACAAACACACTGTACACATATAGTGTTACAGATGATACAGATGATTCTACTGAACTGGTTCAAAACACAATTGGGACTTTTAACTGATCTTGGACTTTAGACTAAAATTTAGACTAAAAATTAGACTAAAGTCCTTTGAGTGGCCCTATACCTTAATTATGTTTATTATATTAACACTAATGATTTAACATTCCATTTTGTCACTGCCAAAACAACCATAACATTACCTAAACTTTACTAAATGTTTCAGTAGTGACATAAAAAACGTGGGACAGTTTTTTTTATATGTTTTCGAAATTAAAAAATTAAACCTAATTAAACTTAAATCTAAAACTTGAATCTAACTTCACTTTAAAAAGAAACCAAACAATATTGGAAGAAAATGTTGGGGTTAGGGTTTGGGACAGACTCCTCCCAATAGAAAGTAACCCATAAATGATGATTTTGGATAAATTTAGATTATTACTGTCTCTATTAATGTCTTGGGTTTAAACAGATCAGAACATTATACTTGTAAATAACTAGTATCTGAATACTTTTTGTTGTTTTTAATAGTTTTTTTTTCAGTAAAATGGTCCATGTCCACTCTCACCCTACACAGCAGGGGTCTTCACTTCTGGTCCTGGAGGGTTGGGGTTCTGCACAGTTTGCTGATTTACCTGCTCAAACACTCCATAAAAGCTGGTAATGGACAGGTGGGTTGGGTCAGGTGTGTCTGACCAGTGAAATCACCTGACTGTGATGGACTTCAGGCCTCAGGTCCAGAGTTAAAGACCTCCTGCTGTACACCGAACACCACGGCTGACCATCTTTCTGTCTGGGGGGTCCAGAGTGTAATGTTAGTGGTGGGCCGAGAGCCAAAAACAAAGACAAAGCAGTGTAAAATATAAAGAAGCAGTTACTTCAAATACAGAACTGAAGAAGTTATACAGTACCATGAAAAAAGATCAGAGAGCTCTTCATTATTTAATTTACAGTCAAAACTGCTATTAAGTACAAACTATTCAGGAAAAAACCCACAGAAAACACCTTTAAGGGAAAATTACCCAGAAGCTTTAACAGCTAAATCTACCA